AAGCAAGTCACCACCCTATCAACTTCAACAGCACAATCCAGCACAACTGCACCTACAACAGCCACTACAGAATTGACATCTAACTCCGCAGGCAACCACAACAAAGGAAGTCACCACCCTATCAACTTCAACAGCACAATCCACCACAACTGCACCTCCAACAGCCACTTCTGAATTGACAACTACCACTCCGCAGGCAACCACAAAAGAAAGTCACCACCCTATCGACTTCAACAGCACAATCCACCACAACTGCACCAACAGCCACTTCAGAATTGACAACTACAACTCCACAGGCAACACAACAGGAAGTCACCACCCTATCAACTTCAACAGCACAATCCACCACAACTGCACCTACAACAGCCACTCAGAATGACAACTACCACTCCGCAGGCAACTACAACAAAGGAAGTCACCACCCTATCGACTTCAACAGAACAATCTACCAGAATCACAGAAGCAATCACCCAAGCCCCTACCACAACTTCACAATCCACCGCAAATACACCGACAACAACAGAGACAACACTGTAAAATTAACAACAACCACACCGCAAACTACCACGCCAACCACAACAAAAGAAACTCTCACCCAATCAACTTCACAAACAACCACAAATACACCGACAACAGACACAACCACCGTACATTTGACAACAACCACACCGCAGACAACCACAACACATCAAGCCACCACACTATCGACTTCATCAGAACAATCTACCAGAATCACAGAAGCAATCACCCAAGCCCCTACCACAACTTCACAAGCCACCACAAAAACGCCAACAACAACGGAGGCAACCACTGTACATTTGACAACAACCACACTGCAGACAACCACACCCACCACAACACTGCAAACTTCCACCCAATCAACTTCACAATCCACCACAAATATACCGACAACAGAGACAACCACTGTAAATTTGACAACAACCACACCGCAGAAAACCACACCAACTACAACATTGGATACTACCACCCAATCAACTTCACAATCCACCACAAATACACCGACAATAATCACAACAATATCTCCAACCACAATAGTGTCACAAACAACATATACCCCAACTACAACCACTTTTCCAACAACAGCTTCAACAATATCTTCAAGAACATCTTCAACATCGCCAACCACAACAGCATCGCCATCTACAACATCTCCAGGTTAGTTATGTAAACATGACTTGGCCTCAGTCTGTCTGAGGCAAGGACCTATGTCTGACTATTCCACTAGCAGTGTTAAGATCTCGATTTAAAATGTGGATATCCACCTTTTGTTAAACCAGGTTCTGAAATGTACAGGAGTCGGTTGATGGTCTCAATGTGAACACCAATTATTGTGCTGCATAAATTATCGTGTGAATTGTATATTATTGCATAATAACATTAATATCCCATAGGTATTCATATTCTTAGGTTTTCGGTAAAGTCACGTAGGTAAAACATTAAAATTAATAAAAGTCAAATAAAATAAAAAATCACGACGTTTCGGAGGCAACACAAGCTTCTGTCTTCAGGTGGAACCGTCACAGCCACGACAGCTGTATCAAGTAAATGAGAGATTGCAGGAGCTACCACTCCGTTTATATAATGGTTGGAGAAGGGGGGGGTAAGGGCCACGTGCAGCACACTTTTTATTCATATGGTAAGGTGAGGCTTAAGAGGGTGAGCCTTTGTTATGGAGAGGTACGGTTTGTGACTCAAACTGTGACAAGGAGACAACCACTAAACATGGTAAACCTGTAATAGTTGTCTGTCAAATAAGATTGGCAAATAACTGTAGTTACTTGATACAGCTGTCGTGGCTGTGACGGTTCCACCTGAAGACGGAAGCTTGTGTTGCCTCCGAAACGTCGTGATTTTTATTTTATTTTACTTTTATTAATTTTAATGTTTTACCTACGTGACTTTACCGAAAAACCTAAGAATATGAATCCTTGCAGTCACGAAAGCTTCAATTTTAGAATCCCATAGGTAATTTTAAATGTGGCTAACCCTCTAGAGATAATGTGAGAGCTCGCCTATATCTACGTTCATTCCACAAGTTTATGATAAGACAATTGGGAAATTCATTGGCGATATGAAATATATATTAAGTGCTTAAAATGTATATATTACGTCATATATCCATGCAACTTACAATGAACAATACAGCACCATCTAAGATGGTTACCCATAATGTATGTTGTTATTTACATGCAACTTTTCAGTACCAGGTTTGCCAAGAAATCTAACTCTTGCCAGTGGAGGAGTAACAAACACATCTCTGCAAGTCATTTGGCTGAGTGCTCTGGGAGATGTTGAACGATACACAGCTTAATCTCTCCTGGAGATTCACCCTCCATTGCTGTTAGCCCGAATGGTTCACTCAATGCCAAGTTTGCTGGGCTGAGACCCGGAGTCCTATACATCATCACTGTGAAAGCCATTGGGAAAGGAAATCTCTCTGGTGAAGGAGTGTCTGTGACTGCGAGGACAGGTATTTACACTCCAACTACATCGAAGCCATTTTAGCCGATTTGAGGGACATTTATTTAATGTCAATATTGTACACAAACAATATGTATTATGTTGAACTTCTGTGCTAATCAGAGGTGCGGGGAAGGGACAATAAACTAAATACAAAAAGCAGTTCCAAGGAAATTAGTTTTCAATCTAGATTAAAAAGTGCACAGCTGCAGTGGCTTCCTAATATCGGAAGAGCATTCCAGTCGGCCGCAGAAGTGCATCTGAAAGCGCGCAATGCAGTGATCGTCTTTGTTCGATGGTTAGAATATATAACTATTGTATAGTATGATACATAACTATTGTATAGTATTTGCAAAAAAAATGTATGCTCGAAGAATACGTATTTGAAAAATCAACGTAATGTGTATGATTTTTTTTTTACTGTAGATCACAGTAGATCACTTACATGATGATCATCCTTCATATATAATACCATAAATGTTATATACTGTATTTCAATCATGAATTGTACAATGTTGCTTCTCAAGGCGATGAAAGAATTATATTCTTTACATAGCACCTAAGATATGTTTGTGAACGTGCTTAATAAAGGAAGTACTTCCTGTATTAACGATATTAGATTCTAACATAGGCATTATAAATACCAATGAAAATTACAAGAAACTTTCACTTGCAGATGCCACAAGTTATACTCATAACAAACGTCAGGAAAACTCACATATACGTGTCCAAAACAAAATACAATTATTGGAGAGACAATTTAAAAGCAAATTTGTAAATTACTCGTCATTTACAGAGTTGAATTTATTGTTTTCTATGAGGTAATCGTATGGGTATCCCCAGAGTGTAGAAGTGGGGACTGAATAGCCAACGAATGTGAGCTTTCCAGAAGTAGGCCTGCCAGCAATGAGCATTAATTAGGTTACTGTGTAATATTCTTCTGAGTCAATAATGACAAACTTGGTCTACCGTTCTCTGTCTGTTGATTAGACAAATTAGCTCAACTTAATGCAAGATGGCCACATTGCAGTTCTTCAGGAACTGGCGGGTTTGCATAATGCTTAAGGCCCGAAGACATTTTGTATGCACAGTGCACGTTTTTGTGTTGTTTTGTGTTGTATATATCCAGGGTAATCATTGCAAGTGGATCAGGATTAAAACGATGAATGAAAGACATCAGAATAGAGCAATTCTTGTGAATTTTAACTTGATAAATGGAGATATAGATGTATAACAAAAAAAAGCGTTCCATGTTGCTGCTATCTTTGATGTATGGACGGGTAAGCATAGGGATATGTTCACAGACTGAAACCGTCACGGGAGGGCACATTTGGATGAGGGAACAAACACAAACCCGTTTAATACGTAGACTTTCGCGACCAATATTATACATAAAACAAGTGTTTTGTGTTAGATCACGTAAATATCAATGGGGTTTACTCTCCAACACACCGATGTGCTGAAGTAGTAACTAATTGCCACGTTTTGTTTACGTGACAAACCTTACTAACTGGCTGTTGGGTGGTGTCGGTTTAACGACACATTTACATTTACGCGATCTAACCCAAAAAACACCTCCTAAAGGAAAACACAGCAGATTAACTGAAGATACACTCCTTTAAAAACTTTTTTTAAACAACGCTTTTATTAACAACTTCGTTTAACTCACGGTCGAGAAGTACAGTACGTCAATGGCGCCTGCGTTTTGTGCGAGTAGATTCCACAGTTTAGGGACCGCGGCGTTTTTTGACCTTCACAAAAATATATAATTAATTTGCCGTCCATACAAAAATTGTATTGCTTGAAAGGAGGACAATTTTGATGAATTGATGCCGATTTTCACATAGGCGTGCATTGTCACCGGAGCTGAGTACGTGTGCAAAATTTGGAATTGATTGGACAGCAGGAAGTAGACTAACTTTTGATTAAAATTTGACCACGACAAACACAAGTGAAGTTAAATAAAACCGTTGAATAAAGTGAGCATGCATGGCCGATTCACAAAACTGTGACGGAGCGCCAGCCAAAAGAGAGCAATGCACACCACAAGGAAAAACAGTGGAGATGGAGTGATGAAATCATTTCATGAACACGAGTGCTTCATTTACTGTATAAGGGTATATCATCTATTGTGATATTTCCCCCCTGTTGGAGTTAGTACATTTAACACGTGTTGGTGTGTTAAAAACAACCACAACACGCAACAGCAACAAATTGAGGCAGTGACATTCCAGTTTTTAATGTATAGCTTCTACCAACGTGCACAACCGATTATGGTTGGCTACGTAGGGTGCGAAAGAAGTTCAACACACATCGGGACGTGTGTCTTATTATCAAACCGGATGCTGGTTTGAAGGGCACAAATGTTTGAATTTCCTGTCCATAGTTAACGCCATACTAAATCGTTTTGTACTCATCAGTTCCAGGGAATGCAAGGAATTTGACCTTCACCAGTCAAGGAGTGACCAACAAGTCCTTGGAAATTGTCTGGACGAGCGCTCAGGGCGACGTGGCACAATATGCGGTGCTCATCTCTCCGGCAAACGTTTCTGCCCTTTCCATCAGTCCAAATGGGTTACTCATCGCCAAGTTTGATAATTTGAGAGCAGGTGTCCTCTATGTCATCAACGTGAAAACCATCGATCATGGGAATAACTCCAATGATGGGGTATCTGTGACGCAAAGAACAGGTAACTTATCTCTGTAGCCTTTTAGTAGTAACTGAGGTTGCTTTCACAATGCTTACAGCAATTCGTTTGCACATATACAGCACAGCAGAAATCCAATAATTCGTGTTGATTTGAGAGGCTATGTCATAAATCATGTAATCAGCAGCACACCGCGCAGGTTTGACCAAACAATCCGTGCAATGTGTTCTTTTGCGCCCACGCGGTTTTGTGATGCATAAAAGGATGAAATTCCATTAATCCGTGAAAAATGTGCGCATGACAGGGGAACGTGCCTAAATTCATCCGCGAGTGGTTTCGTTTCTTCTCAACCCAAATTGTGCAAATCCGTTATCAACGCGTATCGTTTTGTTACTCAACAAACCTCGACAGCAGTCCCCACGTTCCCCACCTTGCACGGATTGTGATTTCCATTTTCGTGAAGCATTTTGAATCCACCGCGGTTTGCCGTGGAATTACCGAGGGCATCGCGAACCAACAATTATAATTATCCACGAATTACAAGGATTCGTAGAATATTACATTTGGAATTATTGGTGTTCTGCTGCACTTGTTGATCATTTATACCCAAAAATGCCGTCAGTACACACACTTCTGTAGATTTACACTGTTTCATTAACATTTAGCGTGTCCTGTTATCAACATTACAGTCACGTATATGGAGTCAGATATCATCAGTTGGGTATCTATAAATGGATGACTGTGTTAATTAAAGTATAATTCTATGATCTGTAACCCGATTATCCACGACTCTTATTATCCACAAGCTGTAGGATTTGTGGAAACCTATTATCCATGGCCCTATGGTTTCCTATTGTAAAATGTATACGTTAAGTAAATGTGTGGTTAATCGCAACCACAAAATTCAATCTCCCCAACAACATCACTGCAGATAAGAGGATATACTGTGTGCAGCTGTTTATATTTTTAGATATCCAGCGTGTGCCGAGATAGTTATTTTTATGTATATACAATTGCGTTAATTTGTCCTTTTCAGCATCGTCTTAATTTCGCTTCTCGTTCACTTTATAGACGTTGACGAGTGCAGTGATGGGAACAACAAATGCGCTCAGGTATGCAATGAGCTGAACCTCTTTGAGAACAGCCAGGGCTACAACTGCAGCTGCTTCGGTGGCTTCAAGATGCAGCAAGATGGCATAAGTTGTCAGCGTGAGTAACGACACTTAATTTTTTCTGCGGATGTGTCCAGGTTGTTTCACAGTGCACTTGATTGAGACACGCATCTTCTGGTGTAATCGGGACCCTATTTTCCATTGCCGTGGGTATTTTTACTGTATTTATTCTTGTTGGTGCTACCACAATGAGTACACTATACGATATGTTAAACATTTAGTACGCACATCAAACTGTAATGTTTAACATTTCTGTAGGATTGTGTTGCCTGTAACTTGCAAATCGCATAAAAGCAAAGCTAAATATTCTACGTGACAGTATTAAACATTTTAATGTAGTCTTCTTCCGCTCCAATAAATGTTAACGTAGAAAAATACAGTAAAGGGAAACATTTACATGTTTTGGAAGTAAAAGTAATGATGGTGTGTACATGTAGTGCTGAACTCGACATGACAGCTTCTTGCATTTCTTCCTCACTTTATTCCGCTAATACCGATCAACATTCCTTCAGCGCGTTCTCCGCTCGCTCGCCGCCGCGTTCCGCCGGTCTCGCTCGCTCCGCGTCTCTCATTCTGTCGACTCTCCTCTCCACTCTCTCAGTCACAGTTCAGCCGCTCTTTATCAGCTTCGCCGTCACACTGCTACCCTATACTTTTCCACTGCTACCCTATACTTCTCCACTGCTACCTATACTTCTCCACTGCTACCCTATACTTCTCCACTGCTACCCTATACTTCTCCACTGCTACCCTATACTTCTCCACTGCTTCTGGCTCCGCTGTTTCCGCTCCAACATTCTTCTTCTGCTCCCAGGCACGAACTCCCGTCTCCTTCAAAACCCGCTTCTTTATGCCCAAGCCAATTATTCTCTAATTAATCAGGTGGCGTCCCCCGCGACGCCCCTCACCCCCAGCCCCCGCTGGCACCCGCCACGTGTTCCAGACAACGCGGCGCCACTTAGCGACGACAACAACCTCCCGGCCAATCAGCGCCCTGCATCCTTAATCGCCCTCTACCACCTGTTACTGTCCTCAGACAGCGTGGCGTCGCATTTAGACAATAACAAATCCCAGCCAATCAGCGTCCTGTGTCTTTAATTGCCCCCTACCCGTCTCTGGCCTCCTCCTTGCATCGAGACGACAAAAACAACCTCGACCTCGTATGCTCCCACTGTACTCTGCGCACACGTGCCCCCGACTCCCGCGCGTGGCGCATATTTCAGGCACTACATACATACAATGTGTAGAGTGGTGATTGGTTGCAATAGTGGCAAATGTCGATTTAAATTCCTGGCAATGCACGTCGACGGCTGGCGATATCCAAATTTGACCCAGGCCTCCCCAAAGTCAACGTAGCCTTTAAAATAAATATTTGTATAAAAATTAGTAGAGCCGGTCCAGCCCCTGTCCCCTCTCCTCCTGTACTCAATCGCCCAATAACGATCAGAAGAAACACTCCCCCCCCCCCCCGCGTCGAAATATCGCAGTTCAATTTCTCATCACGAAATTCGCCCAAATCTCAATTGTGACAATAGCCGATGATATCTAGGAACATTTAACATACAAACATCTGCCCGAAACATTAATAATGTCCCTCATAAACGTCCGAGTTCATCATAATACTTACACGTTTCGTTTAACATCGAATTCTATGAACAACGTCAATGAGATAAATCATATCTAACTGACAAAACATCAAAATCAGTTATTGTTTCTCATATTAATCTCACCGCTGCCATAGCGCATGTTCTGCTCAGCCCCATTAGCTCGCTCAATGTTGAAACCAAGCTCTGATCAGCCATCGTGCGCCTTTCCAATGTACAGCTCTACATCGCAACAACACCACTACCACCAAGTGTTTGCAATTGCAAAAACGAATTCCGTTTTTCAAAACCAAAACGCACTCATCATCTTCCAACTCCGTTATAGCTATTGATTCGAGTTGTATTGCTCAAAGTAAACACGTTTATTAACACTCGTAATACTGATTAAATAACTCGCCGCGAAGCCGATTTTCCGCGCAAATACTAAGTGGTGGAAGGGGAGGAGTGGAGGAGATGGCTGACTGATGCTGCCCCCACGTGTGGTGGTTGTCAGTACTGCTTGCCGCTTGCTTGCTGCTGATGCTGCGGCACTTCGAGGCATCAAAGCCACTCAACTTTGCCTCTCGACTCGCGATCAGCTCCGCAAGGCGCGCTCCGTCTGCGTCGCGTCCCAAACGCGCTCGTTATTTCCATTCATAGTGCGCGCATGTACAACAAAAATAAGCGCTCGTTATTTCCATCATAATGCGCGCATGTACAACAAAAATAAGCGCTCGTTATTTCCATTCATAGTGCGCGCATGTACAACAAAAATAAGCGCTCGTTATTTCCATTCATAGTGCGCGCATGTAACAAAAATAAGCGCTCGTATTTCCATTCATAGTGCGCGCATGTACAACAAAAATAAGCGCTCGTTATTTCCATTCATAGTGCGCGCATGTACAAAAAAATAAGCGCTCGTTATTTCCATTCATAGTGCGCGCATGTACAAAAAAATAAGCGCTCGTTATTTCCATTCATAGTGCGCGCATGTGCAACAAAAATAAGTGCTCGTTATTTCCATTCATAGTGCGCGCATGTACAAAAAAAATAAGCGCTCGTTATTTCCATTCATAGTGCGCGCATGTGCAAAAAATAAGTGCGAGTTAATCGAACGCGCCATTTCAACCCCGCGTTACGTAAAACGCGAGGCGACTCCACCGAGCGCCTGTCAGTCGATTGACGCAAATTGAACAGTTAGACATTATTTCTAGATTTGAAGCTTTCGTGACTGCAATAATTTAGCATGTGCACCTCTAGCATGTGCACTTGTTGTTCTCTTTTAGCCCCGCCCCCCCAATACGTTCCATTCATTGGCTACCACACTCAGATAAGCCCCTCCCCCCTCCTCCCCCCTTAAATTGTATTTAAGAACTTATATCTTGGAATTTTTTGCCTCACTTGATACAGTAAATCTAGCTGTGACGGTCCTACCTGATGACGGAGACTTGTGTTGCTTCCGAAATGTCGTGATTTATTATTAATTTTATTAATTTTAATTTTATTATTTTTTACCTACGTGACTTTACCGAAAAAACCTAAGAGTAGTTAGACATTATTATTATTATTGGAGCTAATGTAACAACACACGGCTGAAAGGGCACTTAATCCACCCAAATCTAAACTGTGCACTTCGGGGGCTAGGGTCCCAATCCTTGATCACCACTGCATTAACTTAAACAATAATTTAAAAACGCAACTGGTTACCCGTAGATATTAGCAGAGTGCTCAAATTATACGTGTCATACGTGTGATTAATCACAGGTGAGCACACACCAGCATCAGGGAGACAACGCTGGTGAGGTGTGATGCTGGCCACACTTCCTGTGTCCTAGACTGGTTCTTAATAAGTGTTTGCTGTGTGTTTAATTCAGATTTAATTTAATATAGAAATATTAACAAATACAAGAACGGCAATATTATATTCTGTACCTCAGAGATGCGAATACAAATGCTGCCATATATGCTGTGACTGACCCAAAGTCTTACATATAGCTCATATTTTCAACCTTTATGAGATTTAAAGTACATATTTGAATCGTAAATCTAGGCAATGGTCAGCAGTGCATAAGCAATTTGACCAATTGGATGCAACTGGGAGTGAAGTATTATATCATGGACAGAGCCAAATGAAGAAGGCCATGATCGCCAAAGTCTTTGAGAAAGGACACGGCTCATACAGAATAGGAATTGGAAATGATAACTAAATATTTAGAAAATGACTTCACTGTATCATTTTAATCGTGTGAATAAAGGAAATCAATGTCATTATTTAGAGTACAATATAGTATTGCCCTGCATCAAAAATGTAATCTAAACATTAAATTTCACATTCATCTATTTTGGCCATCTCGTTACACCCAAACATCACATGTTAGCTGTTTAATAGTTTACTGAATGTATAAGCACGTACATACAAACATATATTTTTTTTACAACATACTAAATATATTTACAGTCAAATATAAAAAAACATTAAATTTGCTTGTAAAAATATTGAGTCATTGTGTATGCATTCTGTACTGTTTCATTACACACGTTACGATTTGAATTGTGAACAATTACACTGCAATACCGTATGGAGGTTAATGCGCTATATATGTTGTATTTTTCAGCTATTGTGAGCTGCACACTGGCCTGTACCAATGGAAGGTGCTTTATTGATCCCAACACAAGAGCCAACCTGCTCCTGTAACATTGGTTACGTCCTTGATAAAAGCAAGCAAAACTGCTTAGGTAAAACTGATTTGCACGATCAATCTGTTGTATTTTTATGCTTTCTCCCACCTAGTATCCATTCGTTAGAGGAGATGTCAGTAATACTGTGTTTATTTAAAGCATTTAAGATTAAACATTGTTTTAAAATATTATGTTTCTAATGCTTACGTACCCTCAAACATACCTCTAGACCTGCTGCTTAGCTAGTTATATAAGAATTATTATGATACATTGCCAATACTGTGTTGTTTAAGCTCAATTGCCTGATAACTACATGCAATGCTACTGAATGATACATATTTAAATGAATAGCTGTTAGTTGCAAGCAATGCAATAATTGTCATGATACATTGCCAATACTGTGTTAAGCTCAATTGCCTGATGACTGCATGCGGTGCTCTTGAACGATACAGATTTGAATGAATGTGAAGAACAGCCTAAACCGTGTGAGCAAGAATGCTCTAACACCATCGGAAGCTACAAGTGCTCCTGTTCTCCTGGGTTCACGCAGGATCTCGTTGTTGCTAACAGATGCATTGGTACGTGAAAACCGTCACTATGGAGATTTTTCCCAGTTCCACAGCCCTTGTGTTTTTCTTTAAACAAACAAAGCATGATCGAGGGAAGAGTGATTGGGCTCACTGTCCCCCTACTCACGTAGGGGCAACGATCAGGAATTTTTACGGGAGCGAAAGAAGAGGGAAAGGAGGGGTGTACTCAAACAGAACCGCACAATAAAATAACATAGACACGAAATGAGTGAACTTGACGTTGTTAATTCCCCACATCATCTTGGTCATAGGTTTTTGTTTTACCATACTTCGTTAGTGCGGTTTGGGGGATGTGTTGTTAAGGATATTAATTGCATTGGTACAGCAAAATTGAGTTGAAAGAAATAAGTTGGACTGAGCCATTACATTTTACATGATACACATGTGTACCATTTACTATTAATAATCGTACATACCTGTTACAACTTAATGCTGGGCGTGGTTGCTTTGCACACCTGTAATCCAGGATGGTGGAGGTGAGAGTTGGTGGTACGCACAAATATTTGAAGCTCCCTTCCCGTGGGCATTAAGGTGCCATACCCTAGGCTCGCCAGGAGAAGGAAGAACACCGAGTCCAATAATAGCTATCATACGTTTTGATTCCTTTCGGGGATAAGAGTCTTGCCCCCTTTACACGTGCGCTTTATCGCTGGGTGCTACAGTGGTTTGTTCTCCTACTTGTATAGACACTCAGTAATTGCCTGAAAACATCAGTTTTAAAAAAATCCCAATGGAACCTTCGTGAAAAAAGAGTCTTAGGGGGTTGGGGGGGGGCCTCGTGGATGAACGAGTAAATCATTATTAGAATGAGCTGTGTGCTACTCAAAGGCTTTACTTCATTTTTATGTTTTTTTTGTTCCCCACAGATGTTGATGAGTGCCAGAGTAATCCTTGCACAAATTCTGGCACCTGTCAAAACATGGTAAATAAATTCTCCTGCCATTGTACCAGTGGGTGGACCGGTGTCTACTGTGATGAAGGTGAGTGGAACATTTTAATTACATCAATGTTTGTGGGTAAATGCTTCTGAGCATGTGGATGTAGTTATGAACTTATAATGGAAACACCATACTTATAGAGGCAACAATAGCTTGGTGATATACTACATATTCAACGTGATGTCAGTTTGGGGAAAAACATGCTTACATGTACGCTATGTTAATTTAGTATAACACCATTTAGCAGAAATGTCTTAATCAAAATGTATTTTTGTAAAAAAAAGTAACCGGACGTTTTACATCGATGGGTACATTTTCATGACCTTTCGTGTTTGTGTGTTTTTGCAGATGTAAATGAATGTGCCTCTAGACCATGCTCCCATGGAGGAACCTGTGTCAACACACCGGGCTCCTTCTCTTGCAGATGTGCACCCGGTTGGAGTGGGACCCTCTGTACACTGCGTAAGCTGATACACATCCGTTGTCTAGTTTTGATAAATTACTCGCAAAATCACTGAATTGGGAATAACCAGATAGCAACGTTGGCCCCTACTGGCAGATGAAAGCCCACATGCAGGCCAGTGTTGCGTGCGCTGAGTGCCGCACAGGGACAGCTGCCACTGGGAGAATCCTTAGCCAAACTGCAGCAGGGTATCAAAATGGTTGAGATGAGATACGATGGAGAGCACTTTGAGTGCCCTATAAATGCAAATACTTAAACGCATTCAAAAGTCCATGAATATTAACAAACATTTCTCTTTATTATTATTACACGCTTTTATTTAACTCACTCCGTCTGTTGTCGTAACCTCAAAAAATATTCTAACTCAATTTTACCCACTTCCCAATGTGATATCGACTGCAAACTTGGTATGCTTATGTCATACTGATGACAAGACTATATTCTATCATTAAAATTTAAAATATATATTTTTTAACATTTTACACGCTTTTTTATTTAACTCACTTCTGTTGTATCCTCAAATTTGTAACTCAATTTCAACCGTCTTCCCAATGTCGTATCGACTGCAAACTTGGTATAGGTATGTCATACGGATGACAATATATATTCTATCATTGAAATTTTAAAATATATATTTTAAACAATCTTTTTTACGGCTCTAATTGTCCACGCTCAACTCACGTTGCCTGTAAATCACCACGGTCCCTTACGTACGGCAAGCCTCGGGGAGCCACGCCGAGGGGCGGGGGATGTGGAAGGAGGGGAGGGGCGATGGGGGCAGGGGAGGGGCAGCTCGGACAGTTTTATTAAAGCGTTTTTTAAAAAGTATTTTTAAATATTTATTTATTTGTGTACTCGGTTCACGATAGCAAAAACACATTTTCTATATGGGAAATGTAGATGTAGCACCAATGTCTGCACATTGATGCTTTACACCTATAAACTTCACAAATAAAACGTATATATTAAACTAGCGGAAGTACCCGGCGTTGCCCGGGTGAAAAATATATTTCTTAAAAACTTTACATTATACACAGATACTAAGGTATTGTCAAAGCCCGGTGGGCTTTGACAATACTCACCACTCACGCTCACCACTCATCCTCACCACTCACCTCACCACCACCACTCACCCTCACCATTCACGCTCACCACTCACGCTCACCACACTCTCCACTCACCATCACCACTTACCCTCACCACTCACCTCACCACTCACCATCACCACAAACCTAACCACTCACCCTCACCACTAACCCTCACCACCTTACCACTCACTCACCACAACCTCACCCTCACCACTCACCTTACCACTCACCACTCAACCTCACCACTCGTCCTCACCACTCACACCACTCACCCACCCTCACCACTCACCCTCACCACTCACCATCACCACTCACCCTCACCACTCACCCTCACCATTCACCACTCATGCTCACCACTCACCCTCACACACTCACCCTCACCCTCACCACCACCACCACCCTCACCACTCACCCCTCACTAACCCTCACCACTCACCCTCACCATTCACCACTCACGCTCACACTCACCCCTCATCACTAACCCCACCACCACTCACCTCACCACTAACCCTCACCTGACCACCCCCACTCCCCCCCCCCCACCCCTCAACCCTCCCACTCACCTCCCACTCACCATCTACTCACCACTCACCTCATCATTGACCACTCACACTCCCTTCCTCACCACCTCCTCACCACCACCCTCACTACTCCCTAACCACTCACCCTCACTACTCACCATCACCCCTTATGCTCACCACGCACCTCACCACTAACCCTCACCACTCACCCTCAACATCAACACTCACCGTCACCACTCACCCTCACCACCATCACCACAAATCCTAACCACTCACCCTCACCACTCACTCTCACCACACCCACAGCACTCACCCTCCCCACTCACCATCACCACACCCTCACCACTCACGCTCACCACTCAACCTCACCACTCACCCGCACCACCTCACCACTCACCGCACCATCCTCACCACTCACCCTCACCACTAACCCTCACCCTCACCACTCACCCTTACTATTCACCACTCAACCTAACCACTCATCTTCACCACTCACCCTCACCACTCACCTTCAACACCAACACTCACCACTAACCACTCACTGGTGATGGTGGGACCTGCTAACAGCAGTGCATGCCGACTGTGGTGGTACCTGCTATGACTACAGCAGTGCATATTGTGGTGGTACCTGGTATGATTACAGCAGTGCATATTGCTGTGGTGGTACCTGCAATGATAACAGCAGTGCATACTGACTGATGGTACCTGCTATAATGACAGAAGTGCATACCGACTGAGGTGGTACCTGCTATCACTACAACAGTGCATACTGACTGGTGGTACCTGCTATGATTACAGCAGTGCATACTGCTGTGTTGGTACCTGCTATGATTACAGCAGTGCATACTGCTGGTTGGTACCTGTTATGATGACAGCAGTGCATATTGTGGTGGAACCTGCTATGATTACAGCAGTGCATACTGCTGTGGTGGTCAGTTTAACACGTAGGCTTTCGCGACCAATGTTATTCATAATCAACGATTTTTGGGTTTAGATCGCGTTTATTTATAAATGTGTCGTAACCCTCCACCACCCGACACGGCCAATCAGTAAAAATGTGTCACGTTGACAAAGACAAATAGTTCACTGCTTTGGGCTAAAGCAGTGAACTATTTGTCTTTGTCAACGTGACACATTTTTACTGATTGGCCGTGTCGGGTGGTGGAGGGTTACGACACATTTATAAATAAACGCGATCTAAACCCAAAAATCGTTGATTATGCTGTGGTGGTATCTGCTATGATGAGAGGAGTACATATTGTGGTGGTGGTACCTGGTATGAAAACAGCAGAACATACCGAGTGTGGTGGCACCTGCTATGACGACAGCAGTACATTCTGTGGTGGTACCTGCTATGATGACAGCAGTACATACTGTGGTGGTGGTGGTACCTTCTCTAATGAGAGCAGTACATATTGTGGTGGTGGTACCTGCTATGATTACAGCAGTGCATATTGACTGTACTCATCATTCACCCACACCATTCACCACTCACAACTCACCCTCACCACTCATCCTCACCACTCACCACTCTCACTCACTACTCACCCTCACCATTCACCCTCACAACTCACCACCAATCTCCCTCACCAATCTCCCTCACCCTCACCAATCACACCCTCACCAATCACCACTTACCCTCACTGCTCACCAATCACCACACACTCACCACTCACTCTCACCACTAACCCTCACCACTCTCCCTCACCACTCTCCCTCACCACTCTCCCTCACCACTCACTCTCACCATTCACCTCACCATTCAGCCTCACCACTCACCCTCACCACTCACCACTCACCGTCACAACCACCACTCACCCTCACCACTCACCTCACCACTCACTCTCACCATTCACCCTCACCATTCAGCCTCACCACTCACCCTCACCACTCACCGTCACAACCACCACTCACCCTCCCCACTCACCCTCACCACTCAACCTTACCCTCACTACTCACCATTCATCCTGGCCAATCACCACTGACCAATCACCACTCACCACTCTCCACTAACCCTCACCACTCAACCTCACCACTCACCCTCACCACTCACTCTCAAACTAACCGCTCTCTCACCACTCACCCTTACCACTCACCCTCACCACTCAGCACTCACCACTCACCCACACCACTCACCCTCACCACTCACGCTCACCACTCACCACTCACCCCTCACCGCTCACCACTCACCCATCACCACTGACAACCGCCACTCACCCTCACCACTCACCTTCACAACAACCACTAACCCTCACCGCCACCACTCACCCTCACCACTCACCCTCACCACTCATCCTCACCAATCACACCCTCACCAATCACCACTTACCCTCACTGCTCACCCTCACCACTCACCACTCACGCTCACCCTCACCATTCAACCTCACTAACCACCACTCACAACTGCCACTGACCCTCACCACTCACCCTCACCACTCACCCTCACCACTCATCCTCACCACTCACCACTGACCTTCTCCCTCACCACTCACCCTCACTACTCCCCACTCTCCCTCACCACTCACTCTCACCATTCACCATTCAGCCTCACCACTCACCCTCACCACTCACCCTCACCACTCAACCTCACCCTCACTACCACATCATCCTCACCAATCACTACTGACCAATCACCACTCACCACTCACCCTCACCACTCTCCACTAACTCTCACCACTCACCCTCACCACTCACCCTAACCACTAACCACTCTCTCACCACTCACCCTCACCACTCACCAGAGGTGGGACAAAGTCATTGTTATGCAAGTCCAAGTCGAGTCTGAAGTCATCAAATTCATGACTCGAGTCTGACTCGAGTCCAAGTCACATGACTCGAGTCCACACCTCTGCCACTCACCCTCACCACTCAGCACTCACCCTCACCACTCACCCTCACCACTCACGCTCACCACTCACCCCTCACCGCTCACCACTCACCATCACCACTCACAACCGCCACTCACCCTCACCACTCACCCTCACCACTCATCCTCACAACAAACACTCACCCTCACCGCTCACCAATCACCCTCACCACTCACCCTGACCACTCACTACTCATCCTTACCAATCACACCCTCACCAATCACCACTCACCCTCACTGCTCACCGCTCACCACTCACCCTCACCACTCACCTCACCACTCACCACTCACGCGCACCTCACCACTCACCCTCACTAATCACCACTCACAACCGAGGGAGAGTGGTGAGGGTGAGTAGTGAGAGTGAGTAGTGAGGGTGAGTTGGGAGGGTAAGTGGTGAGCGAGATTGGTGAGGGCGAGTGGTGCGCAAGAGTGGTGAGTGGTGAGGGTGAATGGTGAGGGTGAGTTGTGAGGAAGAGTGGTGAGGGTGAGTGGTGAGGGTGAGTGGTGAGGGTGAGTGGTGAGGCAGAGTGGTGAGTAGTGAGGATGATTGGTGAGGGTGAGTAGTGAGGGTCAGTGGTGAGCGTGAGTGGTCAGGGAGAGGGGTGAGTGGTGAGGGAGAGGGGTGAGCGTGAGTGGTGAGAGTGAGTGGGGAGTGGTGAGGGTGAGTGGTGAGGGTGAGTCGTGAGTAGTGAGGATGATTGGTGAGGGAGAGTGGTGAGGGTGAGTGGTGAGCGTGAGTGGTGAGGAAGAGTGGTGAGTAGTGAGGATGATTGGTGAGGGTGAGTGAGTGTGAGTGGTGATGGCGAGTGGCGGTTGTGAGTGGTGTTTAGTGAGGGGTGAGTGGTGACGGTGAGCGTGAGTGATGAGTGGTGAGGGTGAGTGGTGATGGTGAGTGGTGAGCGGTGAGGGTGAGCAGTGAGGGTGAGTGGTGATTGGTGAGGGTGAGTGGTGAGGGCGAGTGGCGGTTGTGAGTGGTGATTAGTGAGGGATGAGTGGTGAGGGTGAGCGTGAGTGGTGAGTGGTGAGGGTGAGTGGTGAGGGTGAGTGGTGAGGGTGAGTGGTGAGTAGTGAGGATGATTGGTGAGGGTGAGTGGTGAGCGTGAGTGGTGAGGGAGAGGGGTGAGTGGTTAGGGTGATTGGTGAGGGAGAGGCGTGAGTGGTTAGGGTGAGTTGTGAGGGAGAAGGGTGAGTGGTGAGGGTGAGTGGTAAGGGTGAGTGGTGAGGGTGAATGATGAGCGGTGAGGGTGATTGGTGAGGGTGAGTGGTGAGGGTGAGTGGTGAGGGAGAGGGTGAGTGGTGAGGGTGAGTGGTGAGGGGTGAGTGGTGAGTGGTGAGAGGTGAGCGTGAGTGGTGAGGGTGAGTGGTGGTGGTGAGGGTGAGTGGTGAGGATGATTGGTGAGGGTGATTGGTGAGGGAGAGTGGTGAGGGTGATTGGTGAGGGTGAGTGGTGAGGGTGAGTGGTGAGGGTGAGTGGTGAGGGTGAGTGGTGAGGGAGAGGGGTGAGGTTGAGTGGTGAGCGTGAGTGGTGAGAGTGAGTGGTGAGTGGTGAGGGTGAGTGGTGAGGGTGAGTGGTGAGTAGTGAGGATGATTGGTGAGGGTGAGTGGTGAGCGTGAGTGGTTAGGGAGAGGGGTGAGTGGTGATGGTGAGTGGTGAGGGAGAGGGGTGAGTGGTGAGGGTGAGTGGTGAGCGTGAGTGGTGAGGGAGAGGGGTGAGTGGTGAGGGAGGGGTGAGTGGTGAGGGAGAGTGGTGAGGGAGAGGGGTGAGTGGTGAGGGTGAATGGTGAGCGTGAGTGGTGAGGGTGAGTGGTGAGTAGTGAGGGTGAGTGAGTGGTGAGGGAGAGGGGTGAGTGGTGAGGTGGTGAGTGTGAGTGGTGAGTGTGAGTGGTGAGGGAGAGTGGTGAGGGTGAGTAGTCGTGGTGAGGGTGAGTAGTGAGGGTGAGTGTGAGTGGTGAGGGTGAGTGATGGTGAGTGGTGTGAGTGGTGAGGGAGAGTGGTGAGGGTGTATATATTTTTACCTATGATGACAGCAGTACATGCTGGCGTTTTGTATGTTAAATGTAAAAGCTAAAGTGTGAATGTGTGTGTCTGTTGGAAATGTCAAGCAAACTTGGCGACACGCAGATTTTAAAACAGGAATAGGACGATTTTAAAGTAATCTACCACCTTCGATGAGTCCTTGGCGCGATTCAAAGAATCGATTCCTGGCGTGTTGGGGGTTTACATTTTGAATGACAGAGTTTTATTTTCATTGGTATGTTATGTTTTAATCTTTTCAGGAGTTTTTAATTATATTTTTGCCCCGGTCAACGCCGGATATTTCCCGTTCGTAGCAATTCATATCGACTATAACCAACTTATAGTAAATGGGAATCGGCCGATTCTAAATGAGTCTACAACCTTCGATTCCTTTGCGCGATTCAGAGAATCGATTCTTGGCTCGGTCGGGTTTAAAATTTTAATTACACATTTGTATTTTCATTGGTATGTTATGTTTTAAAATTTTCAGAAGATTTTAAATGTATTTTTCCCCCGAGCAACGCTGGGTATATCGAGTTTATAGCACAAAGTCCTCGCCTGACAAGTGTGGGGTGTCGAGGCCTAGTAACGTGCAGAGCCTCCGGCCTCGCCGAGATTGCCCACCTGGGCGAGGCTGGAGGCTGGGCCGCTACCCCCACCCCCCCGCGCTACAAAAATACTGTCTAATCGCTATAATTTTATTATCTATCGACCCTATAATAGTAAGTGCACACATTGGGGTGGGGGGGACGTGAAACTTTGATGAATTTATCTCAGCGTCGCGTGTTAATGCGTGTGCATATTTTTAACGGGAATTAAAAATGGCGTCCACCCCGCAGCGACGGCGTTGCTGCCCGTTGCCAGGGGCAACTGCCCTGGTCGGCATCTCGCGCATGCAACGGTGTGCTTCGTCACGTGCCGGCCAGCAATAGTAAATAAATAAAAAGAGGCATGCACTAAATCGATAAGCGAACCGATTTAAAGGCGACTGACGAAAAATCGGAAATGCCTATGTTCACCGCGGGCACGGGACGTGCCTCCTGCCAAATCCCTCGCAAGCGAGCGTACGCAGACAGACAGATGGACAGACAGACAGACGGACAGACAGACAAAAAGTGACGTTTATAGGTAAGATACAATTCTACAACCTCACACTGCCTATTTAGATCTTTTCTTTTCAGCAGACATGAAACGGTGGTTAATACGAATGACATTTTGCGTCTCATTGTTGTTTATCTGGAGTGTGCAATGTGGCCCTGTGCCATCGTGTAGACTGCACAAGTTGTGTGTTCACACTGCCATTTGCTTCCCTTAGTTGTGGATGAATGTGCTTCCAACCCGTGCATCCACGGCACCTGTGTGGATCAGGTCAACGCCTTCTTCTGCAGATGTGACGAGGGGTGGTCGGGCAACACATGCACTACGAGTGAGTCCTGATCAAAGCTCGTCTTCACTGAAAAACTTTTAGATCGATCACATCTCAGATTCCCTCATATACATATGGAGCATAACAAAAAAAGTGTCTCGATTTAAAGCTTTCGTGACTGCAGGGATTCTTCTTGGTTCTTTCGGTAAAGTCATGTAGAAGGGAAGTAATAAAATAATATAAAAAAACATAATAAAATAATTCTCACGACGTTTCGGCCACAATGCAAGCAGCCGTCCTCAGGTGAAGAATGAAACACCACCAAGCTTGGAGCGTATATTTAAGCTGGGTTGGAGGGGGGGAGGTGGGCAGAAGAGCGCCTTGACAAAAGAATTTGCATATCAAGAGGAATTTAGCATATTTGTAATAAAAGACTCGGACGCTTCTCTCTGTCCTGTGTCCTTTATTTGGGTTCGATCTCTTTTCCCTCACGGCACTCCCCCTTACTCTTCGCTCTGCAGCCCCAGGCTGCTGTCGCTCACGTAGCCCACTTCCCTCCTTGCAGACCCGCTGCTGTCTCGTCATGCAGACCCCCGCTGCCCAACTCCACCCTTGCAGACCCGCTGCTCTCTCTGCAGTCTCCTCGCTGCTCCTCCAGCCCCGGGGTCGGTCACCGTTGGCCGACGGTGCCGATCCTCGGGGTCTGTGTGTGTGGCGATCTCGCCACTCTCTCTCTTCCCCACTCCGCCCTGCGTGGCCTCACACTTTCCCAGTCTCCGATCACTCCCCTACTGCTTCCGGTTTCTCCCCTTATAGACCTGAACCCTCTCCCCACGTGACGTAACTCCTCCCCCCATGACGTCACCTCCGGAAGGTCGTCCACGCCCGCATTACATATTTATGGGAAATGCGTAGGAGGGTGTGGGGGGTTTCAAAGTCATATTATGCCCGTGCATTATGCAGGATTAGCAGCATCAAAGGAAGGACGTAATAAACCATTTCGGAGCTTAACTGATTGTGTTCACGTTTACGGTGACTTTCAGACCACAGTCCACTCACTGGCATTGACTATATATCTTGTATTCTCCACATGGAATGGATTCTTTGCTCCGCTGCAAGTCTCCTTCCATCACTCTCCTGATGATGCTATGTAGTTTATACTTTAGTTTTTTACGTGGTTGTTAAGTAACTGCAGCTACATACTATTAACATTACTTCCCTTTGTTAATGCTACCCCCATCCCCCTCCCTTTGATGCTGCTAATCCTGCATAATGCACGGGCATAATATGACTTTGAAACCCCCCGCCCACCTCCTACGCATTTCCTATTGATATGCAAATTCTTTTGTCAAGGCGCTCTTCTGCCCACCTCCCCCCCTCCAACCCAGCTTAAATATACGCTCCAAGCTTGGTGGTGTTTCATTCTTCACCTGAGGACGGCTGCTTGCATTGTGGCCGAAACGTCGTGAGAATTATTTTATTATGTTTTTTTATATTATTTTATTACTTCCCTTCTACATGACTTTACCGAAAGAACCAAGAAGAAGAAAAAAAGTGTCTTTAGCTCAGTACGTGTGCTTCGTTCATAACAAGCTCCCAAACACCGTCCTGTGGTGTGAGCAGGCAGATGCACTACTACGATAACTGAATGGCAACCCAGGAATAGGTAGTTTACTTCTACCCCTTACTATTGATTGTCGTGCCACTTGAATGCCTTTAAGCTGAAGTTTAACGGGCACATTTTCAGCTTT